GCCGCGGCATCTGGAGGCTATCCGACTTGATTTTGCAATGCGGCCGCCAAAGCACGTCAAGGTTTCGGTTTCGAATAGCTCGGATTTCGAGTCCGAGACGGTACTAGCGGATCAAGATATCCGCATCACGAAGCCGTGGGTCCCAGACTCGCCGGTGGTGAAATATGTAGGAAACATTACCACTATCCCGCTCACCAAGCCCGTTTGGAGTGGCGCATTTGCGAAACTCGAGGTTACAGGCTGCTGGACTGACGATGGTACCGGGGCAACGATTGCCGAGTTTGGGCTCCTGGCTGCAAATAACTCGGCGAGTGAATGAATACAGTTCACGATTAGGCATATAAGTGGAGTGATATTGGATTTATACTGGATATACTCTAGTCACATGTATGGAATGATGCTGCGAAAGTTCTCATTTCAATCCTCTTATAGAGCTTTCTCTGCCATTGCCCTTATCGCCCTAGCAATCGTCTTGTTCATATCCAGCCCTCTTGGAAAGTCGTGCCCAAACACATGCTTAATTTGCTCCGCTTCACTGGGTTCGGCAATGTCGAATAGCTGCTGGCCGTACTCGGGGGCATCTCCCAAGCCGGTGATGTGCAGCGATGGCATGTAGAGTGGGTGGCCATCCCAAGTGTTGTCAAAAAAGGTCATGTAGTGCGTTTTGTTCACGAGAGCCTGGAAAGGTTGATTTTCATATCGTCAGCCGGCACCGTGCATTTCAATCAAAGTCGACCAGTCTTCATATGCGTACCTGTCTACCATTGGCGAGCTTCGCTGGCCGCAATTTGTCCAGGTGTTCGGCGGGATCTGCTTTGAAGACATCGAAGAGCATCCGCAGCTTTGGCGCCTCTTCAATCGGCAGGTCCGTGACCTTTTGCTCATCCAACGGCATGATGAAAGGCGGCACAGCGCTGTTGATGAGCACCAGGAACTTGATCGGTAACTCCTGTGGTGTGGCGTATGGGTTCTCCATTAGAAGTCGGATGGCGATTTGAGCAGCCATCGATCCACCCTGGCTGGTTCAAGTTAGACTTTTCCCCATAGACGAGAGCACCAGTTGTGATGGTGTCATCATTCTGATCCATCTCTTTCGACGAATAGAGAGTTCCCGCCGACTTACGAGTATCCCAACAAACCATCAAAAGGACCATGGTCTTCTATCACTTGACGCAGCTCGCTCTCAGTGGCCAGAATGTCGTCGATGTCCAGCATATTGTAAAATCCATACAGCTAAAGCGCAAGTTATCACGGTAGTTGTTAGCAATGTCTTCTTTTCTGAGGCCAGACTAAGGTAGGTATTTTGGCAAGCAGAAAAACTGGCAAGGCTCTCAGGCCCAGCGCCTCGATTAGATTGAGCCGCGAATGCTTACATTTGACTTTGAAAAGTCGACTGTGTGCAGAGACCAGTTCCCCTCCAAATGGGGCCATCGGCCCTCTACAAATTCAAACTCGTATTCTGGCTCCAGCAAGCTTCGTATGCCAGCCGTCTGCATCCGGAAAATCTACAAGGACGACGAAGCATTAGTCACCCAGTGGTAGTGTTAGTTTCTGTGCTGCCAAACAAATGAAAATTGCCCACCTCGGTGTTGGAACCTCTGCCGTGCAGACATAAAATTCGTATAGGCATATTTAGACACTGGCAAGAGCAATATTTGGAAAAGATTTTGTTGCTTTTGAGGATCGTAGTTGCCAAGCAATCCGAAGGATTCAAGGTTTTAAGCTTATAACTCATACACGACAAGCTAGAATACTACATTTGGATCAGCTTGTTTGCCTGTGCCGCGATGGCAAATAAAACCTTACGGCAGGGAATGGCGACCCTGGGACATAAGACCTATTGCCCAGTACCCATGTATTCTCTCGCCTTGTACTGAGGAACGGACTTGTCGCCCGACTTGACTCGAGTCTGCAGGGGGTTTTCGATTGTCAGAATGCCCCTGGCATTCAGCCCTTACCCTGTGATCCACCATGGTCTCATTCGTGATAGCGAACTACAAGGATACACGTTACATACGAGACTGCCGAAAAACCGGATGAAGAAAAACAGCGAAATAAGCGGCTGTTTGACCGCAAGCGCATTTGCCGCTCCATACGGTGGGTTGGAGAGTCAGAAAGCCCACATCGCAAGACCACGTGTGACAGGACAAGTACAGCAGAGCGGAGGATGACATGATTCATGGCTTATCCCGTCGGGAGATGTTGCCCGTGGGGAGGGAATTTGGAGATTCCCAAGCAGGAAAACGGGCAATCAAGCTGCATGGATTAATCTGGACTCTGGGGACTCCGGGAGACTTGGCAGGACTACCCCTGCTTAACAATCCATGTGTACTTCGTACATCTTGAAAGACGTCAAGATAATGGTATCCATCGTCCATGCCTGAATGTTTCCATAGACCGCTGTCATTTAAATCTCAGTGGGTGAAACTGGACGAAGATGGACTTGTGGAACTGCGTCTAAGGTCCTGGTTGGGTCGGGCGTGTACGCGCAGGATGTACTATGTAGTATTGCGGAAAATAGACTTTGCTAGTCTGGTCTTGCGAAATTCACTGTCTCCTCCTGATTCTAATCTTTGCCTTGAGCGGCGGTATGTGGTTTGTTCCAAACCATAGATTCTCTGCTCTCTTTTCTTGGAACTCAAAGTCATATTTGAGCAGGATATTGGCCATCAGCACCTTTAACATCCCAGAGGCAAAGAAACGTCCGGGACAGCTGTTGAGCCCGGCCCCAAAGGACAAGTAGTCGGCTGACGTGGTGGCCCATGCCTGCCTCGCTCCTTTGATGTTGTCACCGGCCCCTCGCGCATCCTTTCGCTTATCGTAGAAGCGAAAGGGGTTGAATGCCTCCGCGTCGGGTCCGTAGATGTCAGTATCAAAGTGGATCGAGTACGCCGGGATTCCGACTTGGTAGCCGCGCGGGATCTGGACGCCGGAAGGGGTCGTGACGCCGTCCTTGCCCACGATGCGCAGCGGGCCCAGGCTCAAGATGGTGTTGACGCGCTGGCTTTCCCGGAAGCTGCTGTCCATCCGCTCGAGCCGGGCCAGCAATCGTTTGTCCCACCCTTGCTGCTGCCCGCCGTCGGCGGCGCGGACCTCGTTGATTTCCTGACGGAGCTGGGCCACAATCTTCGGACCCTGTTCGGTGCCGGAACCGACAATGTCGAGGATCATGTGCACGATGGCGAAGACGTTGGTGTGCAGCGCGAAGGCGTTGAGGAGTAAGATACGCGCCGAGAGGACTTCCGGGTCCAGGAGGTACGGGTCGCCCTGGGATTCTCCGTACGCAATGTACCAGCTCAGCAGGTCGGGTTCGTCTGCTTCTTCATCGTCTTGCCAGCCATCAGTCGCGGATCCCGTGCCGCGTTGCTGCGGATGGCCTCTGGCCTCCAATCGTCTGCGCACCTCGTCGATTGTGAGCCTGAACCATTTCCTCTCGCACCAGCGGGATGGCAAGGTAAGCAGAGGCGCCAGGAGACGACGCAGCGGGGCCGGAAGCAGCCAGAGCAGGTTCGCCTCGAGGGGAATGACCTTTGCGTACGAGAAGCCGGTTTCAAGCACCTCTTCGTTCCGGCAATGTCTCTTCCCGATGAAGATGCGGTTGATTGCCTGGCTTATGATGGGCCTCAGCGTGTCGTAAACACCCACCTCCTTCCACTCGCCGTCGTCTTCGTCGCCCCAGTGCTTCGCCAGGGCGAGGTCAAGCTCGTCCGAGAGGGCTGGGATCAGGTTGCCGATCTCGCGGGTGAGCTTGGTGGCTATGATGTGGATGGTCACCTGGTTGTGATCCCGAGTGGGATAAATGGTGCCGAGATCCCATTGGAAGTGGTTGATGGTCTGGTCGTGCATGCTCACGACGGAGTCGGGCTGATCCACGAGCCACTTCCTTTCGGCAGAGGGCAGCAGGATCAGCTTGTTTTGGCCCGGGCCCAGGATGGGGACGCGGACCGTCTCATTTTTGTGTTGTGTGTGGTGCAGGCGAAGCGTCTTTTTCAAGTCCAAGGTGTTGCGGTAGAGTGCCCGATAATACGGCGCCCATGTACCGGGCTCGACGTTGAGGAATCTCAATTTGGCGATTGAACGAGGGGTTGGAAAGATCAAGTAGTTGTAGACTAGGTATACGATGAGGACCACCGCCGGCACCAGTGCCTGCGGCGGCATGAACCATTCTGCGGACAGCATTGTGGCGTGAGTCCGACTTGAATCGTCGAAAGCCTAGCAGAACACCCAAATAACCGGCAAGGGCAAGAACGGGATATGAAGGCCTTGACAGACCATGAAGGCGCTATATAACAGATACAGATAGTTGTTTGATAAACAACCCTCCCCTCCCCCCTTCTCCCCTCTTCTGATGTACTACAGCAGCCCACATGCGCGGTATTGAATGCTCATACGCCTCCTTCAGCCGTGACAGCCCCCCACCTGTATGGAGCACTCAGTACCGTGATAGCATGGTGCAGACTGCGGAGTGTTGCCCACATTCGAGAAGTAGTCGGCCCGGGGTGCCCTGGAGACCGCATTTTATCGGCTATCCGCTAGTGCCCGTGGGGCTTGGCGATTCAGGATGCGTTGCATTTGAAGGGGAGTTAAATGTAAGGGGTCTGATTGGTCAGTGAAACTCAGGCCTTTGAGGTCATGTGTGGCAGAAGGCCCGAGACCGGTTTATCTTTGGATAGACCGTTGAAGCTGTGGGGTTTTGGCTACACTGCTTTGAAGATGAGGAAATTCAACGTAGGTCCAATGCGGGGGGTTGTTTGAATGAGGGGCATTTGGGCTAACGCGGCCCATTACAGACAAGGGATCACTACATGCCGGATGGTTGGTCGATTCAATGTGAGAGGAATCACGTCTAACAACCGATTTCCGTCTAATTTCATAGAAGCATGATGTCCCAGGTTCCGACTACTGGATACAAGTTATTTATACCCTTCCGTACCCAACTACCTTGGTTCTTCACCCGGGCTCCTGTATAAACTATATTCTCACATCAATAAGACGACACAATGGGGTCAACGATTCACGGCCTCGACGAGGACATCGCCATCATTGGCATGGCCTGCCGCTTCCCCGGCGACGCCACGAGTCCCTCGAAATTATGGGATCTGCTGATGGACGGCAAGTCGGCCTGGTCCGAAGTCCCGGCATCGAGATGGAATCAGGACGCACACTACCATCCGTCGCAGGAGCGCGCGGGGAGCAATACCGTAAAGGGCGGGCATTTCCTACGCGACGGCGAGCAGAACGGCAAGCAGTTCGACGCCGCCTTCTTCAACATCACCCGCAGAGAGACAGAAACAATGGATCTCCAGCAGCGGATAGTCAGTATGTGATTTGTGTAAACCCAACCGCGTGAGTTCGGGGGAGTTTGCCTGCAAACAAACCTATTAAGAAGAAGAGACAAAAGAAAGAAGAAAACTGTAAACATCATCACAAGGCTTACCACCCAAAACCTCTAGTGGAAAATGTTTACGAGGCAATGGAGAGCGCCGGCCTCCGACTCGAAGACGTGAAAGGAAGCAAAACCAGCGTGTTCGCGGCCGTCTTCACTGACGACGTGCGTTCCATCCTGCAAGAAGACCCAGACTTGTCTGTCAAGTATAAGCCAATCGGCACCAGCGCGGCCATCCTCGCGGCACGGGTAAGCTGGTTCTACGATCTGAGAGGCAGCAGCTTCACTCTGGACACGGCCTGCTCAGGCAGCATCGTGGCGTTGCACACAGGAGCCCAGGACCTGCGCGCCGGGCTCAGCGATATGGTATGTAATGTCCCCAGGATCCTTCCATTGGAGCAAACACGGCGGCGGTCAACCATGTCATCCGCCCAAGCACATCAAACTGATGTTGTACCAACCCCAAACAGTCTATAATCACCGGAGTCAACATAATCGAGTCCCCCGAGTTTATGTTCCGCGCCAGCGGCCTCGGCATGGTGTCACCCGATGGCAAATGCTATTCGCTCGACGCGCGCGCCAACGGCTACGGCCGCGGCGAGGGGGTGGGCACGCTGATCCTCAAGCCCGTGTCGGCGGCCATTCGCGATGGCAACGTGATCCGCGCCGTGCTGCGCGGCACGGGTGTCAACTCGGACGGCCGCGGCACCGGCGGCATCACGCTGCCCAACAAAGCGGCCCAGGAGTGCCTCATACGCGACGTTTACGCCCGCAACAACCTCGACCCAGACCACACCGGCTTCCTCGAGGGCCACTTCACAGGCACACCGGCCGGCGACCCGATCGAGGCCAGCGCCATCGCCGCCGTCTTCCGGCGTGCCGGACCCGGACCGAGGGCAGCCGAGAGGCCGTCGCTGTACGTGGGTGCTGTCAAGGCGAACATTGGCCACGTCGAGGCGGCGTCCGGCATGGCCCAGGTCATCAAGACGGTCTTGGCGCTGGAAAACGGGACGATACCGCCCAACACCAACTTTGAAAAGATCAACCCCAGGATACCCATCGACAGATGGGGCCTCAAGCTGCCCCTGGTTCCGACACCGTTCGAGGCAGGGCCCTCGGGGGTCCGGAGGGCGAGTATCAACAGTTTTGGCTTTGGCGGCACCAACGCCCACGTGGTGCTGGACGATGCGAAGAGCTATCTAGACAAGTTGGGTCTGGGTGAGAGGCGCGACTTACATGCAACAAAATCGGGAACACTGGCGGCACTCGAAAGCCCCAGCAAGGATAAGACCTCGTCGCAGCAGGCGGCGTCAGTAGCTAGCCACAAGGTCTTTTTCTTCTCCGCCAACGATCAAGAAGGCATCTCGCGGGTTGTCGCCGGCCTCGCGGAGCACTTGCAGAAGAAGCAGGCCGGAGACGGAGAGAACGGAACATGCCAGATGGACGACGCATATCTCTCCAGGCTCGCCATGACCCTTTCGGAGCGGCGCTCACGCCTGGCCTGGCGCCTCGCCGTCACCGCCGACTCGGCCACGTCCCTCCTTGCCGCGCTTACCGATCCTACCACCATCACCACCAACGCTGTCCGTCCCGGCAAAGCCAGCACGCCTGCCGCGGCCTTCATCTTCACCGGCCAAGGCGCACAGTGGTTTGCCATGGGCCGCGAGCTTCTTGCCTTCGACGTCTTCAGGGCGAGCGTCGCCGAGGCCGACAGGTTCATCACAGGCACGCTCGGCAGCGGATTCAGCGTGCTGGAGGAGCTCACGCAGCGCAGCGCCGAGACAACCAAGGTCGACCAGCCCTTGTACTCGCAGACGCTCTGCACCGTGCTACAGGTCGCCTTGGTTGATCTGCTGGGCAGTTGGAACCTGGCGCCCAAGCGCGTGGTTGGGCACTCGAGCGGCGAGATTGGGGCCGCGTACGCCGCGGGTGCTCTGGATCGCGAGTCGGCATGGAAGGTCGCCTACTACCGTGGCGTCGTCAGCGCCAGGCCCGCGGCCGACAACACGCGGGGCGCGATGATGGCCGTCGGATGCACCGCCGAAGAGGTGGCCCCGCTCATCGCTCAGGTCAATGAGAAACTCGGCGCCGACGGGGAGCTGGTCATCGCCTGCTACAACTCGCCCCGCAGCCTCACGATCTCCGGAGACGAAGCCAAGGTGGACGCCCTGGTGGAAGCCGCGAGCGGCATGAAGCTATTCGCGCGCAAGCTGCGCGTGGCCAAGGCGTACCACTCGCGCCACATGGTTCCCGTGGCCGACGAGTACCGGTCGCTGATGGGCACGCTCCGGGCTGCTCCTGCTCCTGCGGTTGGCCGGATGCCGTCGTCGTCCGGCGTGCAGGTCGTGTCCTCAGTCACAGGAGGTCTGATAGCGGCGAGCGACATGACCAACGCCGACTACTGGGTGCAGAACCTCGTATCTCCGGTGCGATTCTCGCAGGCGCTCGTGGCCTTGTGCACTTCCAACGTCGCCAAAAAGCAGCTCAAGGTCGGCGGCGGCGCCGAGCTCCCTGTGTCACATCTCGTCGAGATCGGCCCTCACGGCGCGCTGCAGGCGGCTGCCCGTGACGCCGTCCTCAACGACCCGAACCACAAGGCCCTGCGATATGTGTCCATCTTGACCCGCGGAAAGCACGCGTGCGCCACTACGCTGCACGCAGTTGGCACGCTGGCCGCGGCAGGCCTCCCGATCGACCTGGCCAAGGTCAACAATAACGGCGGCGGAAGCGAGGCCATGCTGGTGGATTTGCCCCCTTACCCTTTCCTTCACTCGAAAGAGACGCATTCTTGGTTGGAATCACGTACCAGCCGCGCGTGGCGGTTCCGCAAGCATGCCCGGCACGATATCCTCGGGGCTCCCGTTCGGGATTGGGACCCGGACGCCCCGAGGTGGCGCAACCACCTCCGCGTGTCGGAGGTCCCGTGGCTCCGGGATCACAAGGTCACGGACAGCATCATCGTGGCCGGCGTGACGTACCTGGTGATGGCGATCGAAGCCGTGCGCCAACTGTACAGCGACAAGGGCGAGGTGCCGCTCGGCTTCAACCTGCGCGACGTGAGCATCTCCCGGGCGCTGCAGGTCAGCGAGGACGAGCACACCGAGACCATGTTCTCCATGAAGCGCGTCTCCGAGTCGCGCCAGTCAGACAGCAGCTTATGGTGGGAGTGGAAGGTCACGTCCTTCAGCGCCCACGATGACACTTGGCTGGAGCACAGCCGCGGGCAGATCGCCGCCGAGACCGTCGCCGAGACCGCCACGGGCGAGGTTGACGGCGGCCGTGAGGCAAGGGAACGCCAACGCCACTACGGCGAGCTGCTGTCTACCGTGACGCAGGCCTGCGCCGTGTCGCAGACGGAACTGCTCCCGAGCCGGTACGCCGAGCTCGAGCGCATCGGTCTCGGGTTCGGGCCCCTGTTCCGCAACGTTGCCAGCATGCACTCGAACTCCAACAACGACAACAAGACGAGCGGCCAGTCGCTTGCCACCGTTCGCATCCCGGACATTGCCACGGCAATGCCGAGCCATGCGCTCGCCGCTTCGGTGATCCACCCGCCCGTTTTCGACAGCATCCTGCATTCCTTCATCTTCGCCCTCCAAGCCTCCGCGGAACGGCTGACGGAGCCCATGGTGCCGATCGCGATGCGCAGCGTGTGGGTCAGCGCCGACATCGAGTCCCGGACCGGCGCTGAGCTCATTGTACACGCCGCGGCCAGCCGCGTCGGCCACAAGAAGGCCGAGGCCGACATCACGGCTTGGAGCACCGACCTCGACGCCGAGAGGCCGGTCAGGGTTGTGATGCGCGGCATCGAGGCCGTGCCTTTGCAGCACAGCACGACAGCGGGAGACGCGGCCAGCAACAGGCGTGAAATCTGCTTCAACCTCGACTGGAAGCCGGACATTGACATTCTGGAGGCCAACGGCGAGGCCGAGGCTTGCATACGCAAAATTTTGCAGCCTTTGGAGACGTCGGCGCTCGAGGAGAGCGCCGTCAAACAGCTCGGAGACGTACAGCTGGCCTGCGCCATCTGCATCACCGAGGCCGTCAGGGACCTTGAGGCGCGGCCGCTCGCGGACGAAAAGGCGCTGCCTGAACACTTGAAGAAATATCTAGGCTGGCTGCGCCTGATCGCTGATGATTACAAGAACAACAAGGTACTCCGCCAGGTGGCCTCGTGGCCGGCTATTGTGGAAGACGCCGCGGCACGCAACAAGTTCCTTGCCGAGTATGAGGCATCAGGCCATCCCGAGGCGTCCATGATTTGTCGAATGGGGCGCAACATTGCACCCATTCTCCGCGGCGAGGTGGACGGACTGCACCTTTTGTTCGGCATGGATGATCTGCTCGAGCGCGTTTACCGGGTCGCGATAGGAACTCAGAAGATCCACGCTCTGATGGGAGAGTATGCCAGGACGCTGAGCCACAAGCGCGGCGCAGATCTCAAGGTACTAGAAATCGGTGCCGGCACCGGCGGGACGACGACCAGCATCCTCGAGGCCATCTGCCCGACGGGCACCCGCATCATCGGAGACTCCCGGTTGCTCAAATACACGTATACAGATATCAGCCCGAGCTTCTTCGAGAGTGCCGCAACCAAGTTCAGCAAGTGGAAGGCTGGCGGCGTCATCGAGTTCAAGACGCTGGACATTGACAGAGACGTCGAGGAGCAGGGTTTCGATCTGGCCTCTTACGACCTGATCATCGCGGCCAACTGTCTCCATGCGACCTCGGACATCACAAAGACCATGACCCGCGTCAACAGCCTTTTGAAACCGAAGGGCAAACTCTTCCTCCAGGAAACGACTGAGCTGCAGTGTCTCGAGTCTCCTCTGGTGTTCGGCATGCTTGCAGGCTGGTGGGCTGCCACGGAGGACTTCCGCCCCTGGGGTCCGCTGTTGGACGGAAAGGGGTGGGAGCGGGTGCTGCGCGATGCTGGCTTTTCCGAGACCGTCTTAGAGCTCAAGGACTCAGAGAAGGATGAGCTCCACGTGCAGAGCATGGTTGTGGCAACGCGTCCGCCGGACGATGAGGCCACCAGCAAGCAACAGCTCGACGAGGACGATGTTCTCCGCCGGGTGTTTGTGATTGCGCACGCGGCGCCCGAGGATGTGTCCCTGGCTACGTCTGTTGCCTCGGCCGTGTCACAGGTGACCAAGCTCGACGTGAGCGTTGTTCGTTTCGCCGACCTGGCCCAGCACGAGCTGGCCAACACATGCTGTATCGTGACGATGGAGGCCACCGCGCCCTTCCTCTCGTCGTCTTTCAGCGAGGCCGAATTTGCGCTGCTGCGCGACTTACTGACCAAGGCTGGGGGCCTACTATGGCTCACTCTCAACCCACACGAGAACCCGCACATGGCCATGATACCAGGCCTTCTCCGTACGGTGCGCTGGGAGAGAGACCTGGACGGCTCGGACCTGTTGCTTATGCACCTGCCCTCTTCCGAGGCCTCGCTCGTTGCCTCCAATGTAGTCAAGGTCTTCAAACATCATTTCGGCGGACCTTTCATGTCACCGGATCGCCATGCCGACTACCTTGTCAGCCCAGATGGTGGCTTCGTTCAGACGGCCCGCATCATCGCCGCTCCTCCCGTCAACGACTTCATCGCACAGAGGACGACTGTGCTCCAGCCGAGGCTGGAGGCGTTTGGTGCCGATCCGAGTCGAAGCCTGAAGCTCCACACGTCTGGGCCGGGAAACCTGGACAAGCTGCATTTCATCGACTGGCCGGGCGCGGAGAAGCCTCTCGGTGGCAGCGAGGTCCAGGTAGATATCAAGGCAGCGGGCGTGAATTTCCGCGACGTCATGGTGGCCATGGGCGAGCTGGCCAACAACATTCTCGGCTACGAGGGTGCCGGCGTCGTCACGCATGTCGGCGCCGAAGTGACGGATATCAAGGTCGGCGACCGTGTCATGGTCGTCTGGAACGGCGATAACAACTGCCTCCAGACGCGTACGAGGGCGCCCCGGGACCTTGTGGCCAAAATCCCCGACAGCATGTCGTTCGAAGAGGCCGCCAGCATCCCCGTCGTCTTTGTGACGGCCTACTTTTGTCTTTACGAGGTGGCGCGTCTCAAAGCGGGCGAGACCATTCTCGTTCACGCCGCAGCGGGCGGCACTGGCCAGGCTGTGATCCAGCTGGCCAAGCATTTGGGCGCCGAGGTCTATGCGACCGTATCGTCGCGCGAGAAGATGCAGCTGCTGATGGATGAGTACGGGCTCGCCGAGGACCACATCTTCAGCAGCCGTGACTTGTCCTTTGCGAGCGGCATTATGCGAATGACGGATGGCAAGGGTGTTGACGTGATTGTCAACTCCCTCTCGGGCGAGGCGCTGCGTGCCTCCTTTGGCTGTATCGCCATGTTCGGGCGGTTCATCGAGATTGGTAAACGGGACATCATGGCCAACAGCAAGATCGATATGCTCCCCTTCAGCCAATGTGCCACCTTCACGGCGGTCGACCTCTCCCAGATAGCCACCTTGGCGCGGCCGCTGACCTCGCGCATAATGCGCTCCGTCGTCGACCTGCACGCCGCCGGCAAGCTCCATGCCTGCAGACCGCTCAACGTGTACAGCTTTGGCAGGATCGAAGAGGCGTTCCGTATCCTGCAGCAGGGCAAGCATATGGGCAAGGTCATCCTCGCCGCGCATCCCGAGGACCTCGTCAAGGTCGTCCCTAAGCCGCCTGCGCCGACGCGCCTGAGGCCCGACGCAACCTACCTGCTGCCCGGCGGCGCGGGCGGGCTTGGGCGATCCATCGCCAAGTGGATGGCCGCGCCGGCGCAGGGGGCCAAGAACCTGGTGTTCCTCTCGCGCGGCGGCGCCGAGGCCGCGACGACGCGCCAGCTGCTCGCCGAGCTGGCTGACATGGGCGTGCGTGCGACGGCGCTCAAGTGCAACGTGGCCGATGAATCACAGCTGGTTGCGGCGCTGGCGGAGCTGACACGGCTGGGCTTCCCCCGCGTCGCCGGCGTGATCCAGGGGGCGATGCAGCTCCGCGACTCGGCGTTCGAGTTCATGTCGCACGCGCAGTGGGAAGAGTGCCTGGGCCCCAAGGTGCAAGGCACGTGGAACCTTCACAAGCATCTGCCCGCGGACATGGACTTCTTTGTCATGCTGGGCAGCGTGGCAGGGCTTGTTGGCAACCGCGGCCAGTCCAACTATGCGGCGGGCAACACGTTCCAGGATGCGCTTGCGATATACCGGCGCTCCAAGGGGTTGGCGGCGACTTGCATCGATCTGTGCAACGTCATGAGCGTAGGCTTCGTCGCCGAGAACCAGGAGACGCTGAACAAGAACCCGCTCTTCTTCTTTGCGCACGACGGGATTCGCGAGGACGAATTCCTCAGTCTGGTTGAGTTCCACCTCGACGCAGACCGGGCGGGGCGCAAGGCCGAGCCCCAGATCGGCGTGGGCCTAGCACCGCTGTCCGTGTTCAAGGAGCGCGGGCTGCCAGAGCCGACGTTCATCAAGTCGCCACTGTTCCGACAGCTGCGGTCGGCGAGCGGCGAGTCGGGGGCCACAGCGGACGGCGCATCGGATCAGGACGGGGCAGTGTCGGTGACGCTTGCTCTCAAGTCTGCCCAAGGCCCGGAGGAGGCAGCGGAAATCATCTGCGACGCGCTGGTCAAGAGGATCAGCCGCACGATGCGGATCCCAGAGCCTGATATCGATGTTGGCAAGCCGGTTCACGTCTACGGCGTGGACTCGCTGGTGGCCATGGAGATTCGTAACTACCTAGCCAGCGAGTGCGGGTCTTCGGTTTCCGTCTTGGAGATCATGGGCAACAAGAGCATGGAGGTTTTGAGTGGCGAAATAGCCAAAGGAAGCAAGTATGTCAAAAGTGACGTTTAGTATTAACAAGTCATCGGTGCCGTGTCTTGTCATCCTGGAACGGGGTTTAGTGGGCCCAATGGATTTTTCGGCGTTTTCGGCGTTTAGAGGTTGGATTACTAGGCCCCCTTAAGGGCGAGAAGTTAGCTCAGACATTATCATCGCGGTTCACACATTCGAGGGGTATAAATCAATTAATCACTCTTTGTTTTTAGCGATTTTTCGAGCTTTCGTACCGTTCTTTTTAGTTTAGGTCTACAAAGCACTGAGAGCGTCTTTTCTTTTTTCTTCTAGGATCGGGCGCGTAGGTGCTGCTGTGATGCATAGCTCTCGGCCGCCTGGCCTACGACCATTTCAGTCCTTACTAAGGGGAGAACACAAAAGAGATGCAGAAAAATTGAGCACTTGGGTTTGAGCTTTTCAGAGGACCAGGCTCATCGTGTTGACCGAAACAGCGAAGAGCCGGCATGGCAAGCTTCTAATAACTCTGAGCAAAAGCCAGTCGTCAAGTGGTCATGAATAAAGACTAACTGAAATGTAGCTTAATTAAGGCCTATAAGCTTTATAGGAGGGCATTTGAACGTTAAAGACTCTACTTCTAGCGAATGTGATGGACACGCATCAGATCTTGGGCTTGCTTTCGCGAATGAATCTCCATTAAGAGGCTTAGACTGTTGATTAAATTGCAAAATGCTGAGATTGCTAGTGTCACCTCGACTTTCTTCCTTTATCATCTATGTTCAAGAGGTATCTAGCCCACCCACCACAGCGGTCTCATTAGTTCTTTTGTCACTTATAAAAAATCAAATTACCCGAACTTTTCTTGCTTCGCCAACCAGTCTTGTCCCATTTCACGTTGAATCGCCAGCAATCATCCAACTGCACCTCCACGAGCTGCTTCAGCCGTTGGCTGGAAAGAACACCTTGGATACTTTTCCGCACCCACTCATTCTCATCATACACGCTATAGAAACGCAAGGTCTCTAAAGACTCCGGCAGAAGGCTTTCCAGGCTGTCCTCCGAAATGGGAGCTTCGTCTGCAGTTTCTTCTTCCTCGTCACTGTCGCCGACGTCGGACAGACTGGGAAGAAGATCATCCTCTTTTCCGAGCATGATAGGTTGAGGAACCGACAGGTGCTTCAAGCGCTGCAAGCCCCGTAGGTCGCCAATCTTGCCGCTCCATTCTGCCTCCTCGAACGAGAAGCATTCCCGGCAGTCCAGATCCAATTCTACCAGGCCTGCCCCGTGTTCGCGCAGAACCCTGCCGATATGATCAAAGTCGAGCGTGCTGTCTCCAACCAAAGATGATCCCCAAGTGATTTCCAACGTCTCCAACGAGGGGCATGTGCGTAGGAGGTTGCAAATACCGTCGGCCTCTGCGAGAGAATCTATGAAGTGTGCATACCTCAAAGAGCTCAGTCTTCGTGGTGTCTGGGCACTTGCTGCGAGGCTAGTGTCAAGGTCCACTGCCCAGCCGCGAAACGTTTGAAGCTGTGGCAGGAGAAACAAGTCTTGGTAGTTTACCAAACGGACGGCCAACTCAGTGTCTTGATTCCTGATCCGGAACTCTTCAAGTTTTGCTAGCGGTAGAGACGACTGCGGCATTGTAGCTGAAGTCGTATCTTGCTGAGTCTGTGATGCCGACGGAGTCTCCTGAACTACCGTATGTGAACCTTCGCCATCCACGACGGGTCTATTGACCCCCTGACTAGCTGCTCGTGCGATGATCTCCGGAAATAGCGTATCGAAGCTTCGAGTCGCGTACTCTAGCGACTTCAAGTTGGGCAAAATGGTGGCACAGTGTGCGAACCAAAGATCAGGTACGCCCTCCTGCCACTCCTCGCCATCGGCCACAACTCTGAGCGCCGCATCGATAGCGGCGGACCTCGGATCGGATTGCGGGGATGCCTCCGAGTAATACGGCAAAAGGAGTGACGTGATATCGTCGCGGCTGAAGACGCCCTCGCCTAGGGTGACGTTCTCTACACTCCGCGCGAGGTGTGGGTTTTGATGGAGAGTGTGCAAGAGATGTTTGTGAAGCCTCCAATTGGATAAGGGCAAGCTGCGGTACAAAAATGGTCGAGCAAGCCGCAGAAATCGAGATGAGGTGCGGCATAGCCGTGACAGTGCTGCAAGGCCCTCTGATCCTGGTTCGTTTTCGTCTGTATAATCAGGTCCCCGGATGTCAAACTCGAGCTGACCGAAGATGAGCGTCCAAACTTCGTCGGGAAAATGCACCATGTTGACGTCGTGTAATTGTTGTATTGCGGGATGATGTTGAAAGAAAGTGATTCTCCATGCCAAAGTGTCGACACAAAGGGGGAAGTCGTCAATATGTCGATCGCCAAGGATTCTAGGCTGCAGCCTGTCTGTACGTACCAAAATGCGCCACGACCTAGTCAAACAGTGGCTGCAACGCCCTATGCAAGATCACTTTAGATCACTTTGGTATGTAATAGGGCATCCGTAATACATTTAATCTTGACGAAGGAACTCTCAAAACTCATCGATCCTTCAGCGCTCCTCTTCGGGCCTTCGAGTATGCAACAATAATGACATTGCATCTCGTATGGGCTCATCACTAGACGCTCATCTCATTCTCGTGAGTTTGTTTGTTGCGAAAGTTTATCAATGACGACATTACGACACGCTAAAATTACATGAACCCTTGCCACGGTTCACTGGGGCCTAGCAGGATGAACGGTCATGATGAAAACTATGAAGACGACGAGCTCAGTCTCAGGTTGAGACGACGAGGCCTGTAAGAGTAACACATAAATCCGACACTCGGCTGGACGACCCTGATGGAAGAATGAAAGATCCGAAGAGCGGCTTGCATACGTTGTTGTGCTGCTTGTTCGTTGGTGCTTTATGAGCCGCTGGGGTGGATAAATGTCGTCAGAAACATCTCCAGGGCTGAACCCAGCGGTCGAGGAAACACGGAACACTAGGCCGAGTACCCGCTATATCGACCTTCAGGCGAGTGAGGGAAGCGCGGTTGACCGCACTAACTGGCGAATGACTTCCGCTCTTTGGTTTAGAGATGGTGACATGCGGGCCGAATCGGTGGCTCTGGGCTCACTGCGACTCAACTCCAAGGAGCCTAGAGCGGTAGAGCAGACATGGGATGGCAGGGGACTTTGGCAGCTTGCATCTCTGCTGAACAGCCTGACTTATTTGTGTTTGCCTTACCTGAAACCCTTATTAGTGCGCAATTTATTACCCCTCTACGCTACTTTTACCTATTTATACGTGCTAACGCTAAAAACGCGTTAATTAACGCTAATTATTGTGAATTATTATATAAATTAATTATTAATAGCTTTAGAAGAGCTTTTTTTTACTAGAATCTATAAGCTAATGCTCTACTTATTCTTATAAAGTTAACTCTTTTTAAGTATATATTTTAGAGTATTAAAGTGAGTAAAACTATTACTAAGTATATTAATTTAAAACTTATAATATTATTATTATCTATTTTATTAATATTATTAGTAAATTAATATATATTATTATAAAATCTAAATATAAATTAACTATTAGTATTATTAATAAGCTTCTTTTTATAGTATAATACTTATATAACTATATTTTATCTCTTAATAATAGAGTGCTTTAATTATATTAATATTAGAGATCTTATTATTAAACTTATTTAGGAATATAAAGTATATATAATATAGCTTTTTTACTATTTATTTTCTTTATTAGTGTTATATTTAATTAAAATTATATTAATATTATAGAGTAGATAATATTAAAGCTATTAAATAGTAAGTAATAAGCTTAGTTAAAAGAGTTATTACTTATCTATTATTTTAATAATAAAGTAATTATAGAGCTTATTAAGTATAATATTATAATAGTTTAGATCTATTATTAATAATAAGAAATATCTAGAGATATATTAAAACTATATTAACTAATAAGTTCTAAATATTATAAGATATTATTAATCTATAAAGAGGTAATCTTTAAACTTTTATATAATAAAACTAACTACTACTTTAATAAAGTTTAAGCTTTTTTTATAAAAAAGTTTAATTTATTTATATCTATATTAGTAATCTCTTATTATTTTAAAAAGATTTAGTAGAAGAAGAAGAAGATTTAATATATTACTTAGTAATAAAACTAAGCTATATAAGAGGTGTATATTATATTAATTTATAATTATATTACTAATATATTTATTTTTATTAATAAGAGTAGTGTTAATTATTAAAGTAGTATTAGATATATAAGCTAGGTACTAAAAAGTATAAAGCTATTAAAGTAGAGCGTTCTAAAAAGAGGTATATAGTATTATATTTTACTAGCCCTCACTATTAATAGTTTTCTTAATTATATTATTTATTTTAGATATATAGATGCTAATAGCTTCTTATTTTAGATTAAGAACTTTATATTACTAAAGATAGAGGTATTTCTTAGCTTAAAGTTAGTATTAGTTATAGATAATATAGTGTAGTATAATAAGAGATTATTAGAGGAGGCTTACTAATAGTATAGTATTAAGTTATTATACTTACTTATATACTTATTAGACTTTAACCCTATTAAGGTGTTTTTTAAGGACCTTAAAAGTTACTTATAGAGGTAATTTATATGATTTAAATAACTTAAGGTAATAGATACCTTTTTTGCTAATTTTCTTTATAATTATGCTCTTAAAGTAGCTAGTAATACTAATACTATCTTAAATCACTTTTATTACTATAGTATTTATATTAAAATAGTTAAAGATATTAGTAGAGAGGAGAGCTTATTATAAAGTTAATTTTATAGTTATAGTTATATTTAACTTTAATGCTATTAAAAGCTTCTTTTACTTAAAATAATATAATATTAATATAAAAAAAATAATCTAATCTTAATAGTTAGTTAGCTTTATAACGCTTTAATTATAGTGTGTTTCTCTTTAGCTATAGCGTTAGAGGTATATCTTATTTATTAGATGAATTACTATTAGTTATTAAAGTTAAGATCTTTACGTTATTATAAAGAAGTAGGAAAAAACCTTATTCTACTTATTAAAGCTTATTATTATTATTATTATTAAGTGATTAAGTAAGAGATATAATAAGAGAGTAAATATAATTAGTTATTTTAGTAAGAGGATTTTATTTAGTAAGAAGATCTTATTTAGTAGTATTAATAAGAAGTATTACGTTTTCTACTTAAAAATTAGTTAGCTTTTAATAATATAAAGTAGTAAGTATAAACTATTTTCTATTATTAAATCTATAATATGTTAGCAGTCTAGTTAACCTATATAAGTAGGTATTACAGTTCACTCTATACTTTTTTTTATAATACTGAAACTTAATAGTAGCATTTTAACTTATACTTAATCTTAATAAAGTAAATAAATAAATCTTAGTATAACTAGTTATTAACGCTTAGCTTAACTTATCCCTAGTAGAAGAGGGTAGGTAGGTAGGTAGTAGAGTAGTAAAACGTACTAGTGAGAGCGTTATTTACGACGCTATTATTTATAAGCGTATTATTTATAATATTATAAAGGTGTTATCTATAACGCAGAATACTAATAGTACTTATAGTAGCTAGAGCTTAGTAATAGCTTAAACCTATACTTAAGGGCGTAAACTTAATAGTATAACTCTTTACTATTATAGCTAAAAGGGTTCTTATAGCTATAGTATAAGAACTTAACTATTTAAATAAGGCTTTAAGCCTATTCCTTATATCCTCCTATATATATAATAACTATAATATCTTTCCCCCTTATTATACTTATATATAAGTTAAATAAAGCTACCCTAGATAACTTAATCTATAAAACTAAAATAAATAAAATTAAGGGCTTTAAATATAATAACCTTCTATATACTAATAAAAAAACTCTACTTAAATTCACTTAGAAGTACTTATTTAAGATAGCTAATAAGTGTAATATATTAAAGTTATATAGTTTTAAGATCAATATAGATATAGTTAAAGCTACTAATAATAATCCTAATACCTATAAATACCTCATAAGCTTCCTTAAGATAGCTAAGGCGGCTTAAGCAGAACGTTAGTAAGTTAAGAAGGGCAAATATAGCGAGAGTATAGCTGATAGCAGCAGGGCTCTTCCTACGTTGAGACTGCGCAGTAGGGCGGAAGATGTTATCTGTCACGGCGCAGACGTCTAAACAGCAGAGGAGATAACAGAAGATAGGCGCAGATTGAATATAGCGTGAAGGGTGGTTGCAGCTTAGAGGAGCCTTAGAGATAGAGGCGGCTAGAGGAAGATAGTTAAGGCTTATTATAATAGTTAAAGTCAGAGGAGCATAGAGGTGAAGATAATATCTAAGTCTAAAAGTTATATAACCTAAAGGTTATTAGCAGAAGGTGAGGGGATTAGTCTAGCTTTTGCAGTTAATACTAGTTAAATTTCATAATATAAGGCTAGCAGCCTTAAATCTATAATATATTACTTAAGTAGGAACTACTTAATTTAGCTTCTAATTACTTCTATAATACTTATAGGGATATTATTCTTTTTAAATTAATCTATTAATACTTTTTAGAGAGATTTAAGTTAAAAATAAGTTTATAGGATAATATTAAGAGTAGTATAGAGATTAATATCCTATTTATTATCTCTTTTTTTTTCTATTCTTTATAGATATTATAGATATTTATAGAGAAGTTATAGTATAAGCTTAATCTAAGGAATAAGTAGTAAGGAGGATAAAATTAATAAATCTTACTTTTTAGTTTATAGTAGTATTAATAGTAGCTTTATTAGTAGTAATATTAATAATAATAACTAAGTAGGAGTATAGTTATAAAAGGGAAAATTTAATAATATATAGTTATAATATAGTAATAGTAATAAGATATTTACTTAGTTTATAATATTTAAGTAAAAGGGTAGATTAAACTTACTAATATTACTTCTATTACTTTTACTACTTCTACTACTTTTTAACTTTAATATAATCTTACTTTATAGCTTAGATTTAGTTTTAATAAAATATCTATTATAATATAAGGTTATATCTATAATAATCTCTTTTAGAACTTTATTAATAGTTATTAATCTTTTAGCTATAGCCTCTACTTAAGTTATAAAGTATATTTTACTAATTTAAAGATATAATAGTAGCTTTATTAAAATAAAAAGTTAAGATATATAATAATTATTAATAATACTATTATAGTTATTAATATACTTAACTCCTAACTTATATCTATATATAGCTTAGATTACTTAATAAGTATCTTAAGTT